CAGGAAATAGTTCAAGCTTATTTAGGGCAAGTTACTCAGCTTTTGGGTTGTGAATGAGCTATCATGACTCGAGCCTGATGGGCTAACTGACCTATCAACTTCGTTTAGTCTAAACCACTGACCAAAATGCTTAAGCTGAAGTTGATAGTAGTACACTCATCAGACCCTTATAAGTCGATCTTAATCCTGCCCACTTTCGATGTGGGACTAATTAGGGGTGTTACAATCACCCATACTCAAAGGCTTGACGTCCTCGTCAAGCCCCAACATAACCCAGATCAAACCCTAGCATAGTGCATGTGAGGCGTAGCCCTGTGGTGGCTCCACGCCGTGACGAGTCCTCTGACTCCGTCTACGGGTAGCCCTTTCCTACTCGAGCCCCCTTACCATGCCTAAATGCTAGGTCGGCTCTGATACCAAATATCATGACTCGAGCCTGATGGGCTAACTGGCCTATCAACTTCGTTTGGTCTAAACCACTGACCAAAATGCTTAAGCTGAAGTTGATAGTAGTACACTCATCAGACCCTTATAAGTCAATCTTAATCTTGCCCACTTTCGATGTGGGACTAATCAAGGGTGTTACATGAGCCTTCGTCAATCCAAATTTGGTTGCCTAGTTGTCCGAAACAGAGTTTGAGATGGAATAGGTTTAAACTGTTAATTTTTTTTCCATTTTTTTTAAAAATGTTTATAGTCTTATTTGAAGTGAACAAGCACCTAGGAAAGTAAAAGTCTAGTTGGATTTTATAAGAAATCACCTATTTCTTAGTGCAATGAGATGTGAGAATGAAATCACGTCATATCCTTAGACATCCTGTAAGGTCCCAATTATATGTGGTCAGCTCTATGGATCTTGTCACACCATTGAGCTCTATGGAGGCTTATATCATCGGTTAAACCAAGTCATCATATTTGTTTTTATCATTTCTTATAAAATTTTCCTTTGTCCTCCTCTTGTACCATTGATCTTAAATTGTTCACTTTTTCTTGCTGGTGCATAATCTTTTAAATATCTTTATGGAACTGTAGATTTTTTTGTCTTCATCTTATACTCAGTTGGAACTACTCTTAATTGCTTTCAAATGCCTGTATCTGAATTTGTTTTTTTCTTTTCCAAGGACATTACATATTCATCTCAACATCTATGTCTCAGAAACTGAAGTTTTGTATGTTTGTTCCTAAGTGTAAAGTATCGTATAATATAGAGCTGCCCATAACATGGTTTTCAGTTTTGGGCACAGGACGCAGTTAGTTCCAATGTACTACACATGGTACGTCGAACGTATCACAGTACAAATAAGGAGGGAAAGAGACAGAGGGGAGAAAAGGAGGGGTTGGGTTTATTTTGGGGGGGTGGAGTGAGGGGAGAAGAAGAGTAAGGGAGGCGGTGGCAGAGAAGTAGAGGATGGGGGGTGGCAAAGAAGTAGAAGCGGAGAGGAGGCAGCAGAGGAGAGAAGGCGATGATTGAGGAGTACTAATTTGGTAGGATCAAGGGTGGTGGGTGGCAATGGCATGCCAGGGATGTTATTTTTAGATTTCAATCAGGGAAAAACTAAAAAAGGAATCGGGCTTACTGCCCAATCAAGGCCAGATAATGGGCTTGGACCATGTGGTAAGCTTGATTTTTTTAGCTTGTTTGGCAGTGTGGCTCGCTCTGCAAGTGAAATCGGGCACTCCATGTTCCAGTCCATGGATGGTGCAGTATATGTATCATGCAGTAAGTATTGATCTGTCCTGTTGATCCATGGTCATTCAACTGTCTATTAAAATTTTCTTTTAAGCTAAGTGACACCTTTTGATGCTCCTGTTCAATTAAACCATCCTACTTTAATTTTATGAGCAATATTTTTTTAGCAATCTTCCATTCATGCTGGATGACATATGAAAAATGTCTCAACCATTTGCTTCCAAGAACTTCCTCTTTTTTTATCTTAAAAATTTCCTTAAATTTTTCTTGATTTTTCTAAATTTGCACATCATATATTTAGTTTTAGTTTTATGTAGTCTGGAACTTGTTTTTTCTAAGATAGAATTAGAACCAACTAAATTTTCATAAATAAGAAATATCATTATTAAACCACATGCACCTATGAAGTTCATTTTTTTGGCCTAATATTTTCTTACCCTTTTCTGTTTCCCTCTTGCTTCTTCATCTACTTTTCTCTTCTTCCTCTTATCTTTCTCCATCTTGTACATTTGTCTAATTTCTTCTCCCACATTTGCTCCACTTGGGTTAAATATGTCATCCATAAGCCCTTCTTTTATCAATTCGTCCTGACTCCATTACCAATTGATGCAGTAGCATAACTGAAGCAAGCTTGACACTGTTTGGTCTTCAAATGGAAAGAAAGGAATGCCTATGCCAAAAGTAGTTGGGATTTGAATATATATTCTCAATAAATAACTGCCATTTATGGTTGCCATTGTCAGTGAATAACAACAAACCATTTATTTAACTAGTACACATGGCAGGGATAAGAAAGGTGGTTCTCAATTTCTTAGATGTCAAGGACACATTATTAATTTTTTTTGTAAATCAAATTATCATTTATTTAGTACACTAGGGTAAGGACACATCAATTGATAGATGGGGTTTATCATTTATGGTTTGTCTTTCCCATTTTCATTGTTATTTTTGGTTCTATTTCTTTTCTATGAACGAATCTAGAAAACCTACCCGCTTGAATTGTGAGCATGCACTTATGCTCATCTGATGTGTCCTTGTCATTATCATTGTTGTTTTTGTTGTATTTCTTTCCGAGAATGAGTTCTAGAAAATCTTTCCACTCTAATTGTGAGTGTACATTTGCTTATCTCTCTATTTACTCCTTCATTGGCTTGGTAGTTTTCCTTTGCTTTTTAAACCAAGTGGTGATGTTGTTTTGTGGCTATCTTTCCTTTTATTAGGTGACAAGCCTGACGTGGGTCCTTGTAGTGTTGAGAACGTAGCTGAGCGTGACTTGCTTCGAACTGAGGGAGATCCTGCTGCTCTTGGGTACACAATCCATGAGGCAGTAGCACTCACTAGGAGTATGGTCAGTTTGCTGCCACTTTCCTGAGCTTAAGAAAAAGTGATTCTTTTAGCATCTTGTTTTACAGATTCTTCTGCTCTGTGGGTAAAGCCAGAATGACAGCTCCATTTTGTTTTCTTGTTAAGTATAGGACTAATCTGCTATTCATCCATGAAGAAAACAAAGATGCCTGATCAAGGAAGAATCATGATGGATTGATTGTGTAGATAGATATGAAGGGTAGTCATTGTGATTCATTTTCTAACTTTGAGTTGCTTTATAACCTATTGAGGCTCAGTGAGAGTGGTTGCTCCATATCATGACAGGATCAGTGTTGCTGAACTCATCCTTTTCTGTCTTTTTTTTTTGTTAATGGAAACTAGTTCAACTCATCAAACTCAAGGTAGGAGAAGTGTTTATTCCCTCCCAGATTCTTTTGGGGTGTCATGGTACTACAGTAAAGTGCTTATTTGCAACCCTTGTGACTAGGGTTTGAGTCAAGTAAACAATTTTTTCTACTTGTAGGGATAAAGTTGTTAACATTGACAAGTAGAGCCAAGTAAACTCTTCTCATGCAGAGTTTGAGTTTTTTTCTCAGACTACTAATGAAGAAATTGATCCAGAAATGCAGTCATCTAATTTCAGTTCGTTTTTTCCATCTATACAAGTAAAAAACTAGCTGTTGACTGGTTGGCCATGTTCAAAATATTGCTTACTTTGGGAAGATATTGATTTAAGGAGGAATGGTGTTCTTTATTGCTTTGTAAAGATGCATGGGAGATACTTTTGGATTATCTTCTAGACTTCCATCTAAGGACTTTTATTATTATTTTAATGCTATAAATTACAATGACATGAAGCCCCAAAATATTTAAACGACAGAAAGCCTTCTCTACCAAGGTGGACGTCCATTCAACATATGCTTATTTTGCGTGTCAAGGGAGACACCACAGCTTTAGAGGTCATCCTTTTAAGTTAACATTATTAATGAATGTGTTTATTATCACAAACTCTTCAAATATGGAAAAGACATTTCCATATTTAGATAAAGATTATTAGTACTATTAATAATGTTGTAAAATGCAACTTCTTGGAAAGAACTACTACTATTTCTTGAATCATGCCACATTTAGTCTATTTTTCATTTTCATGGACTAGATCTCTATTACACAATTTGTTTCTATTATTTGTTTTCTGCATAAAATACTTTTTTGTTGGATTACCACTACCATCGCATGGTGCATACCTCTTATACACCGATATTTTAATTCAAGTATCAGGATTGTTATGCTTGTATTCTTACCATACCTTTCAAATGGTGATATTCTTCTCAAATAATATCTCAATCATTTTACATGTTTCAACTCCAGATTCCTGGACAGCGGGCTATTGCCTTGAAGCTGCTAGCATCTGTACTCAGCAAGGCTTTACACAACTTACAACATATGGATAACTGTTCTCAAGTCAGAAAAACAAACCCTGTCGACGATTTTGTTGATTGGCAAGCTGTTTGGGCTTTTGTCCTTGGTCCAGAACCTCAGATGGCTCTTTCATTAAGGTAAAAATTTAGCAATTACAGAACTGAGATTTAGGGAAAAAAATTCGTAGTTTCAAG